TCATTGATGTTTCTATCGCTCTCTCCCTCTCCTTTCCTCTCTGAAATCAATAAAAATGTATTTAAAATAGTTAAAATGCTAAATTTTGTTTTTAAAAATATATTTTTTAATAGATTCTAGGGAGGAAGGGAGAGGGAGAGAGAGAAATATCAATGAGGAGAGAGAATCATGGATTGGCTGCCTCCGGCACGCCCCCTACTGGGGTCGAGCCGCATGCGTCCTCGCCTGGAACCAAACCACAACCCTTGGGTCCTCAGGCCTAAGCCCTAACCACTGCACAACCAGCTCGGGGAGACCGCTCTTCTTTCCTATTACAAGGTTTTCCCCATTTATCCTTTGTCGTGGATTATTTATGTACTTTACTTTTACACGGTTACAAGCCCCCTAAAAGATAGGTATTGCCCTAGCTGGTTTGGCTCAGTGGATAGAACTTCAGCCTGTGGACTAAAGGGTCCCGGGTTCAATTCCAGTCAAGGGCACATGCCCGGGTTACAGACTCAATCCCCAGTAGGGGGCGTGCAGGAGGCAGCTGATCAATGATTCTCTCTCATCATTGATGGTTCTCTCTTTCTCCCTCTCCTTCCTCTCTGAAATCAATTTTTTTAAAAAAGACACAGTGCCTTCTTAAAAAAAAAAAAAGATGGGTATTATTTTTATCTGCACTGAGGACTAGGATGTTAGTCCTAGGAGCAGTGATGCCCCTGAAGCCTGTAGGTAACAGGCCCAAGAGCTGGGATTGGCCCCCGACGCAGGTCCATGAGGAGGGCACCCCACAGCCGCAGGCCCGACCTGAGCTGTGTGAGAGTCCCCTGGGAGCAGAGAAGAGGTGCCCACCCTTCCAAGGACACGTGCTCCCCGCATGCAGATCCGGCCCCTAAAAGCAGAACATTTCTGGGAAGTGGAGTGGGAGGTTATGGGTAACACAGGTAAACGGTGCCCTCTGGTGGGCACTTTTGAGTGAGACAAAAATGTGCACCTTCAGGGCCCACTTGTAGTCCACAAGTGTTTACAGAAATCACCAGCTAGGGAGCTTTAAATATTTCCAAGATAAATGAAAAGGTAAAAAAAAGAAAAAGGAAATAATTTCAAAGTTAAAATTACAAGCGTTGGCCAGGCTTGGCGTGGCTCAGTGGCTGAGCATCAATCCATTTTTTATTCAGCAAATATGTCTATCTTTCCCTTCTAAGTGTTCTGGTTACCTTGTGGTACACTTAGAGTTTTATTTCCAATATTCAGATCGTCTGAAAGTTTCTCCTGTCAATAATGTGAGGAAGGGGTCCAGCTTCACTTTCTATCTGCACACCCTGAGCTGAGCCCTGGGCCCGAGTGTGGAGATTAATACTAATTAATTTCATCCTCTGAGGTGTCCCCTTTCATAGATGGGGAAACTGAGGCTTACAGTAACGCACCTAAGATCACACAGGAAGTGGAGTAAATTTTTTTTCTTCTATTTTGACTTCTATAGTGAAAATCCCATTCTGGCTTTCTGTACATTTTTTTCATTAGGTTGTGTGATTTTTCTTGTTGTTATTGATTTGTACACTTGATCTTAGCCAAAAGGCTGAGAAGCGATATTGATTTGTAGAAGTTCTTTCTATGTTTTGAGGGTGAGTCGTTTTTAGTTACATGTGGCCTGCCTTTTCACTCTCTTAATGCTATATTTCAGTTAACAGATTTCTTCATTTAAAAATAATTGCATGTTGTTATGTATTTTAAAATATTAATATTTTCATTTATGGTTGTTGTTTTTTTACCTGTTTACCCTTGCCCTACTTTCTCATATTGTTGTTTTGTTTGGTTGGTTTTTTGTTTGTTTTTTGTCGTTGTTGTTTTTGTTGATCCTCCCTCCCCCGAGGATAGTTTTTCCATGGATTTTTAGAGAGTGGGGAAGAGAGAGAAACATCGATGTGACAGAGACTCACTGATTGGTTGCCGACCACACAGCCCCAACCGGGGCCAGGGATTGAACCTGCAACCCAGGTATGTGCCCTTCATGGGGAATCGAACCTTCAACCCTTCAGTGCATGGGTCAACACGCTAACCAATGTGCTACACTGGCCAGGGCTCATTTTTTAATTTTAAAAGCTTTTGTTGCTTTTATAATTTGAACCATGAAAACCAGTAGAAGCAGACCACCATAGGCCGCACAAACCCCTTTTAAAATGGTTCCGCCCTGCAGCTCTCCAGGCTGGCACCCTGGCCCCGCTTGGCCTCAAAAGAACCCTCTACTCAGCAGCCCCATATCAGGACCCCCTGCGCAGCTCGGGGGGATGGGGACGGTGTGGGAGGCCAGCTGTAACCAGAAAGCCATGGGGAAGCAACCTCTAAAGCCGGAGGCTGAAGATACGCACAGGAAGGAAACTGCTGCCCGGGCAGCCCAACCGAAGAGAGTGAACGCCAGAACGGGCCCTTCCCCGGCGGCCGAGTCGCCCGTGTGCACGGGAGTCCCTGGGAGGCCTTCCCGACCCCGCGCTTCGCAGATAGTCTGTCCCCGGCTGGTGTTAGGTCCTGAGGACACGGCCCCTTTCATTGCTTTTTGGATGAGACAGGAGTCCTTCTAGCCCAGCCGTGGGCAAACTACGGCCCGCGGGCCGGATCCGGCCCGTTTGAAATGAATAAAACTAAAAAAAAAAAAAGACCGTACCCTTTAATGTAATGATGTTTACTTTGAATTTATATTAGTTCACACAAACACTCCATCCATGCTTTTGTTCCGGCCCTCCGGTCCAGTTTAAGAACCCATTGTGGCCCTCGAGTCAAAAAGTTTGCCCACCCCTGTTCTAGCCTAAAGGGAACCAACGATGTGCCAACAGATTCCCGGTCTCTCCTGCACCCAAAGACCACAGCCCCTGCCCGGCTGGCCTGGCTCAGCGGTTGAGCTTCAACCTATGACCCAGGAGGTCACAACTTGATTCCCGGTCAGGGCACATGCCCGGGTTGCGGCTCGATCCCCAGTGGGGGGTGTACAGGAGGCAGCCAATCAATGATTCTCATCATTGATGTTTTTATCTCTCCCTTTCTCTCTGAAATCAATAAAAATATATTTTTTAAAAAAAGACTGCAGCCCACCCACACCTGCAGCCATCCAGACCCTCTCCTCTCCCCGGAACACCTGGCCACCCTCTGGCCTGTAGTCCGCCCTCCCTTCTCGCCCTCAGTAACTGACGGAGAAAGGCTGGCTGATGCCTGAGCAGGGACGAGCCCACACTATGGCTCCCTGCCTGGGTGGACAGGTCCGGCCCACCATGGGCTGACCACAGCCCTGACCCTGTCCCACCCACTCCACCAGCCACACCTCCCTGGTGGCCCCCAAAGACGGTCATGGCACCTAGTTTGCTGGCTGGACTTTATTCCCATCCCCGGTCTTGGCCAGGGGTGGACGGCGGGTGGAGAGCTGTGTCCTGAACCCCTGCTGGAGGGCAGGGGGGGCTGGGACCAGGGTCCGGCCAAGGTCGCCAGCGGGTCAGCGGTAGAAGTCCGGGTCTGCAAGGTCCGGCAGGAAGTAGCGCTGCAGGGCTGGCTGCAGGAGCAGG